GAGGTTTAACGGCAATATACAAATTAACGGTTTCCGAACGAAGGTGCCGCGAATAGGCTTAAATAATTATCGTCATTTCACACATTTGCATATTAAATCGGTACCTCAAAATGATGTATCTAGGGGCAACGGTTAGATGCACTGTAACAATAAGTCAACCTAGTATGTGGTATATCACAATAAAAACTAGGAACTCTTTAGAAAACATTTATTTACAGACGTAAAATCAATTATAATTATAAAAATCGTCACCCAAACTAACACGATATCCAGAGAATCAAACTAGTGGCTTGACAGTCTCAACATTAGTACGACTAAACCAAACGTAAATAATCCCCTCTAAAAAAACACAAAAGTCTTGAGACGTACCTTTATACTTTAAATCGAACCCAATTTCACAGCTCACATCGCCTGTCAAATGCGACATAAAGCCGGGAACGCGATACGTATTATGAGAGAATTCAAACTTGCCCTATTTATATCAATGATAATCCATTTATTGTCGCACTAAAAAGTTTTGATTTTATCGATCCGGAGCGACGAGAGAATTGTCACCTTCTTGTCTTTATCGCGATGCCAAAAGTCACGGAGGGTTTTAGAATGTTTAGTCTAAACCCAACCTAACTTAGAAACAATAAAGTCGAATGTTGAATGAGGACGCCGGGCACCGCGCAAGATCCTAAGCGGCTTATTGAACCGATCGCACGTTCGCACGTTTTTGAGGTTAGGTTTGACGTTTCAAATAACAAGACAGTGGCACCTCTTGACGGGTACTGCGTAAGAAATAATTTATACCTATAAATATAATGAAAAGTTGTTATTTTTAAATAAAAATTAAGTTACTGTTTAATAATAAGAATAGTTAAATGAAAACAAAACTAAAAGTAGAAACATACTGCTTCATAACTCTTTTTGGTGACTACGCGGCGCAGTTGCCAAGGTATTGGGAAAGGCGCCGAGGTACTTGGGTTCGATTCCCAAACGGGAAAAGCATATTATTAGTAAGTAAAAGTAAAGAGTGACCAACAGTTATATTATTGTTTCGGATAGGTGTTTGCCCATGTGAAATTTATGTTTGCAAAACGTCCTTACAACACAGGATAATATTATAAGTGCTAAAATGCTACAGTAAGGGCAAAGTTTTTGTTATATTCAAGATAATAAAATAAGGCTTTGCAAAGCCAATAATTTTGCATTAATTATCTCACGGTAAAAATGTGCATAATTCGACGTTGTTGTTGTTGTATTTTTTTACTATCCGTCAATTAATCGATTTGATTGTGCGACCGCTTGGCTGTAATTGTGCATGCGGGGATTAATTACTATGTTAAATTGTCAGCCAGGATTGTGTGACGTTTAATTACTGTAAGTGTTGTATTTTTCACATACCCAGTAAGTGGGTTTTTCAAATTACGACGCGACGAGGTCCGCATTTACGGTTGCATGTGGACGTCTAATTGCCGACAGCGGATGTTGAAACCAGTAATTGGGAGGTTAAATCATAAGATAACGTATATGGCGGGGAAAGATTATGACCGCGAATCGTCCCTATCTAAATAAATCGCACGCGCGTTCAGTTTAATTTGTTCTGATCTGGAACTAGTAACCGTACACTTTTCAAGTCACATTGTTTAACTTACCTTGCGTCAAATTACAAATGGGAACTATATTTAATTTGTTTTTTATATGTACTGTATTTCAAATTTAGAATCCTGACTATGAACATTGCCTTGATGATGAAAATAATGTTATAACTAATGCTGCAAAATTACTTACTTGAACGTGTGTTCACCCACAGATTAGACAGACATTTCCTATCGCTATGGAATTATAATAAGCCGTTGAGAGCATGAATGTACCTGCAACTGATTTAAAATGGATGAATTTTTAAAAAAGAATTCAAAATCAACGCAACTTTATGATTGACAAAAAGCTGATTATGACGTCAGTTTTTTTCTCTCTTCCCTCGGGCAGTCCTTTCAGCCAGGATTAATTTGGCCCGTTTTATAAGGGCTTACTTATCTCGAGCCAGAGTGTTAGAACGGGTTGTATTTATCGCGTCCATTATACGTTTTATTATTTAATTTATTTAACGCCATGAGCTTATCGACTTGTCTATTAAACCGAAGCGGGATAATGCGATCGAAACTTAAACATTCGTCCCGGGTAATTTATAAATTGTTTATTTATGCATGTAGTAATAAATAATGCTTAAAAGGACTACCAATTTGAAATGTCCTATCGAGTTAACACGTCATAGATAAAGAATATTTTAATCTAGAAATAGTGTTTATTCATTTTCTTATAATCAATTACTTTATTTATTTAAAGCCGAGTAAAAAAAAACATCACCAATTCTTTTAAAGCAGGTTGTTTACAACGACCGCGGTTCTCTATAACGGATGCTATATAAACATTTCGGTAAATATTTTTTTAAATTATGTTCATCCTTAACTACTTGTATATATATAATCTTGATAAAAGCATTTGTCTATGATACTATAATTAGTTCCCAGCTTCAATTAATTTAAGCAGAGAACGAATTATAATTAACCTGAAGATTGCGTTGAGCAACTTTGAATTAATAAATTTAAGTTATATGCAACGCTTTATGATACGTCTACAGATTAATGAGTTGCCGTCGTCTTCCGACATCTTTTTAACGTTAAACGAACTTGTATTCTTAAACTGGCGGTGCTTTTGTTATCTGTTGAGTAATACCATTTATTCATCTTTATCTATAACATATAAAAAATGTGATATACTCTGTTTTGCTAAACTCAAATATGTTTAAAGTCAATGTTTCATAGTATAGCACGAAATGAAATGAAATCGATGATAAAATTTCAAGTTTTTTACAATTTTTTTACAGTCATTCAATAAACTGTTTAATATAATTAAAAATTTAGTAATTATATAATTGTTTGCTAATTTCCCGCTCAACTAGCAGTGTTCAACTGCCTGTTATAAAATTATTGCAAAAGGTCTTTTAATTTACTACATATGAAACAAAGTTCTCACTTAAACATACAACACTCACGTACGCTCGTAAAGCAGTATAATCATCTCCGAGTGGATTACAAATGGCAAAATGATTACGGAATTTATAACTAAACTTAACCTTCGCAAGGTCGCAAAAATGTAAAGAAATAAAAATATACAAGGATTCCTAGCATTAAAATATTAAAATGATATAAAGTGATTATCACCCCTCGTGGCCATTCAAAACATGAACTGAGGATCATCAGAAACACTTATTACTCTAGTTTACGGTCTTCTCAGATGCCGAGGTACTTTCACGTGTGAGGCAGCTAAATAATAAACAGTTGAAGCTGACTTGGCTCTACCACAGCAGTACTTGTGATAGAGTCTTAGTAATAACATTATAACATCATTTTCATCACTTTATAAAGACATAAAAAATAATAAAAGGGGCTCATGTGAGCCACGATTAAAGTTCATGTTATTTATTTATGAATCATGGGTACCATTATGGATCCATATGCGCCATACATCGTAAGCCTGATAAGTGAATAGGAAAAAGCGGTTTAATGTGAATAACTGTAAGTTACCTCTTTATATATGTATAACAATTAACTTGAAAATAGAGTACCAAATTTTCATGAGGTAATGTACATTTTAACTTATCAAAGTTAAGTAAAGATAAAAAAACAAAGATTAAAAACTATGTTCGCTGATCAAAGCTCACAGTAATAAAATTTGCTTACAAGTCCGGCTAAAATATACGGTTGCATCATGCTAGAAAATGACTAAAATTAGCCTACCAACAGTTCGGGTAAAAATGCACTAAAATGCATTAGTAATAACCAGCTCATAGAGAAATAAAACCTAAAAATTGGGCTTTACATTCATTCTAAATTTAAAATAAATGTCAATGTATGAATATATTTTACATTAACCTATTTATATTATTAAATGGTAAGTTAACTGTCACTAGTTAATTATTTTACAAAACAATATCTATTTTTTTATAAAAACATCTTTCATTAAATTTTTAAGAAAAAAAAGTCGTATCTTTGACTCTATGTATCATATTTAGACAATTTATCAAAAATTCAAATAGTGTAAGTGTATATATACTGGTACTTTTTTAATAAAACATTTTTTTAATAAGCTACGGGAACTAGGCTACTCATATTAAATAGGTGAGTATTTGATGTTATTATGAAGATAATAAACGAAAGCCCAGTCTCGATACGTCTATTATTTCGGGTGTTATTATCGTGAGCACCTCATAAAAAGATTCGGACGTCCGCGTAAATTAAAAAAGTTTTTTTGTAAATATAATATTTTTTACCGAATATGAGATGAGAGTTTTTTGAGATACATTTACTCATATTAAAGTATAAGTGCCAATTGGTTGAGGTGGAGGCAGTTTAAGAGCAAAAAATTGCTTGATTTGGACATGGCGACAATAGGGTCAACGGGTGCACGGTATGAGGTGCAAAATTAAAAAGTATAGAATACATATTCACCATTTTCTTTAATTACCTACTGCAGAAATAAGTATGCCGCGGGATATACTTAATCTTTTAACACACATGTACATACGACTCATAAGAAACTATGGCAATCGTTGAAGTCTTTTGTAAGAAAGTACATTGTACATTGTAACATTATTCAAGACATTGTCATAAAACTTACATGTTGATGTTTTAGACCAACTTTCTGTATTAGATATAATAAATCTGACTTGTGATGGCTTAAAACTGAAAAAAGTGTGATCTTAGACTATTCATGTTTCTAGCAAATTGTATTGGATAACAAATGGTGTTGAGAAGTCCTAAAACAAAAGCAACGATTACTGGATCAAAACCATTGACCACGGTTCGTGTCCGATGAATTTAAACTAACTTTTATATTATCAATGAAGAATGCCGAGCAAACCCAAAGTGCTATTACGTCTCTACGTGGGTAGAGGGTTTCCAGAGTTTATCATTGACTCTACCAAGGTGGAGAGTTCCGAAGGGGGCCTGTACCTGGGGAGTCGGTGGCCGACCGGTCAGAGTCGGAGTCCCGGTGCGCGCTGAGGTCCCTCGGCGCCGCGTCGAGGATGTCCGTGATCATGAATCGCGTGCGCGGCGCGCGCGCGTCGCGCTCGTCGCGCTGCACCGTCATCGCCACGGCGCCGCCCGGGCCCGCGCCCGCCGCCCCAGCGCCTGCGCCCGCGCCCGCACCCACCCCTACCGCATCCAGCGCACGCGCGCGCCACGTCCTCGCGCCCAGCTCGCCGACGCCGCCCGTCACCGCGCCAGCGACATCACACACCAGCCAGCGATCAGCCGCCCAACCGCGCACTCGCTACGCTCAATCCTCAACACGGCACTCGGTCACAAAAGTTTGCACACTGTCCGTCCGCTATGTCGCGAGCAGGTGGCGTGAGTGTTGGGAACGCGTGCGGCCTGCACGAGCAGCAGGCTAGGACTGAGCGGCGCGCGGCGCGGTGGCCGGAGGCGGGCCGGGGGCGGGCGCGGCCGGCGGGCGGCGCGGCCGCACGGGGCGTGCCGCTGCCATGTTGCCGCGGGGCCGCGCTAATGCTCTTTTTGCCGACTCGCCGCCGGGAGAAAGCTCCGCGCGGATTTAAGCTTTTATACGTGGATAAAACGCTTTTATGGGAAAATAAAGTGTTCTCGCGGCGGGATATCGCGCTTTACGATGGCGTTCCGCTGAAAGTTGGCGACACTATACACTCTTAATAGGTTCGAGTAGACCGAGCCGAGGCTAGCGCTTCGTCGCTTTGGTACATTTGTTTCCGGTATTATTATTTATCATAATATTTTAGATTTTGTATTAAGTGTATCAGTAATAAGTAATAAGTAGTAAATCAGCGCAAGAAAAATCTGTCTTTAACAACGAAAAAGAAAGAGAGATACTACCTAGTTTTTCAATTATATTTTTTTTTCATCCATTAATTGTTTTTCCATTTAATATAATTATTTTCAACTTCTTGGATTTTTACATTCAGTTATTTGATGTCAAAAAGTACGTAGTAGGGATAATTTTTTCAAGTTTTTCTTTCCTGTTCATTTTTCAAATTTGTTCTCCTGTACATTTAGAGTACATACCATAAAGCAGTGGCATACAAACAATCAGTGTAAAATTTTCTTCTCATATGTAAAGTACCAAAACATTTAACTCATAAGGTTTACATTATAAAACGATTATGAAATCAGGTATAGGTATTTTACCGTTTGAAATAATGAAATAGTCAGTGTTTTACAAATATTGCCAGTTAACAGTCATCTTGAATGTTATTAATATGATCGTAGCCAAAGGTCTAGTCTGATGGGCATATGTTCATAGTAATTATCCTCTGCCATCTCTGGTAGTCATTTTCTACTATTAAGAGTCGAACGTGTTATCTCGGTCGACACAAAGGTCAACGGTAGATAATATTGCCGCTGTGCTTGACGGTAGAAGCGATTCCACGGCTTGCTTCTGTCTTCTTACTCAATCCCTATGTGAAGTATGATATATAGATGCATATCCACCAATAACTGGGACAATTCAGTCCCAGTTTTGTAAGAGGAATTGACAGACTTTTCTATTTGCCCTCTCGTTATTACTGCAAAATTTTATAAATTCATGGTTGTAGAATTTGACGCGAGAAAAAAAATGTTTAATATAATTTCTTAACTACTTTAATGTCAGATTATATTGTTTTAATCTGAAGTTTCAAATGATTCGAAAGTAGGCGTTAATTTTAACAAACCTTTACGCATTTACACATTCATATTTAATAATTTTGTTTAGTCCGATTGTGATTCAATATGGTATGTATGCTATACAGTATTACATTGCATCGTTTACGTTTTTGATAGAAACAGAATAGATGTAATTTCTGCTCCTCAATCCTACACAATAAGCGAATTCATTATTACATGATTACATTTTTTTTTAGTTACCCTATTATAGTTTACCTTTATTATAGTTTACCTCTACAGATATCAAAACAATAACATTGATTTTAGACCGTTATCAGTATTGTGACAAGTTTGAAGTTCGGCGATGACACTAATAAATCTCAAGAGTATCCACTCTTGCGGAAGCTTGCATGATATTTAAGAAACATTAAAAAACTATTGCGAAGATGTGAAATGTGTCAATCGGTGGGCGAGTAAAAGGGTTGTCTAAGCCCTTATTCCCTCGCACCGAGCGTGTCTGTCACCAGGAGCGGGAAATACAATGCTTCAATGGCTTCAATTTAATCAGCATTCATATCTTTAGTTTGCAACAAGGTCACAATTATAATTTAATGTGTAAATTAAAATAAAGAACAGCTTTTATATCTATACAGTGATATTTTTCAATAGATGTATTATCCACCAACAAGCCCAAATTTACAAGTTACAAATAAAATTCCAACTAACTTGCTTTTATAATAGTGTTATGCCTTTTTTAGATCCTCGTAGATCCTTACTAATATTATAAAGGCGAAAGTTTGTATGTATGAATGGATGTTTGTTACTCTTTCACCCAAATACTACTGAATGGATTTTAATGAAATTTTACAATAATATACCTTATACATCAGAATAAGACATAGGCTATAATTTATATACATTTTTTATGTATGTCTTTCTGTCTGAATGCCTTCAGCCTATTTTACGCAGACGTAGTCGCGGGCAGCAGTTAGTTAGGAATAATCCATTGATTCAGTGGTCAAAATTAAAACTGCTTGTATATTATTTCAGTTAAAGTGTGTGAATCTTGTCCTTTACTCTGAAAAAAAAATGTTTCTTGGCCTATTTTCTTAACAGTAGGATTTGCAATAAGTGAAAATCTTTTAAAATACAAACGATAATGCTTTTTCTAACAAGAAATCTGATAGTTACCCTAATAAGATTTCGAAACTTTATTGGATAATTAATATTTTCTGGATCTTTGTTTCGGGCAGAGTCAGGTGACAATTTTTTATCAATTAATTAATATATAAATACTGTAAATGTATACTATTATTAATGTATAATAAATTAAAAATGAATATATTATTAACGCAGGCAGTCCATCTTACAACAAAAGCCTGGACCTGTAAATCTATAATTTTATATCAAGAAAATGCCATGTTAAAATGTGGAAATATGTACAAAACACCCTTTGTAATATTATTTTTGTGATGACAAAAAAAAAATCGAAAATTTTTCTTTCTTAACTAATAATACCTTTATATAAGTGTCTATATGAAAAAAAAGAATTGCTTATGTAAATAACATAAGCAATTCTTTTTTTTTCATACCTCATAATTCAATTAAACAATAATAAATTATAATTCCATTTAGGGAAGCGCGGTTAAAGATGAGAATTTGTTTTGAAGCAATTAAATAGGAATCGCATGCTAAACCCACTGACGTCCTCTCTAATCAACGTTAATTATGTTTAAAGAAATGTTTCGAATTAACGTTACGATCGCACCAAGCGAAACGTAACGGTGAATTAGAGGAAAAAAAAACAATCAGAGGAGCCATTAAAACTCTTAATTCTATATCGTGCGACCGGCAGTGCTCAGCGCGCCTCGTAAACAGTACTAATGGGCGATCGCAAAAAATTACATAAAGTGCTTCTATTACTCCGGGTCACAGTACAACGACTCCGGCACAATTAAAAGTATGCAGCGCCGGCTCGTTCCTCGAAAATGCCGTCAGTCGGAACACACGATTTAGCTGGAAGTTCCAATTTGGACCGCTTCTTCGGAGTTCATGGAATCTTTCTTCTCTTAGCTGTTGGCACGCTTTGCGCACGTATGCATTGAAGAAACTGCTGTTTTTGCATTAGGTTATTATTGTGTATATTAACATTACAAATTGTATTTATTCTAATTGCGCTGTGGCCACGCAACAGTCTTCTATGTTGCACGAATAGGCAGGTCCGTCCGGGGAAGTAGGTAACACGACCGCACAGAAGACGCGTGAAGTGCAAGTGTTATACTTTGCGTTTCGACTGGTGTGTGTGTGTGGTGGTACTGATAACTGGAGCTCTATTAAAAAGTGGCTACGCATCTGCAACCCTACGGGTGTTATAAATGTTCATGGGCAGTGGTTACTTAACAACCGGTGAGCCGCCAGCTGGTTTGTCACTTTCACGCATAAATAAATAAAAACTTGACTGTATTTAATTTGAGGATTCATCAGATATTCTCAGCATTCGAAACCACAAATCCTGTTGCTGAATGAATAGTACATCTCAACCGAAGAAACACAAACAATAGCTTTAATTTGCTTTCATTTGGCTATCTCAGGGTGACAGGGTTCTGAGAACTAACCTATATTACGGAAGCTGTGATGACGAATATTTTATAAACAGTAAATTCACTCAGGTTCTTAATACATTTATATTCTCATATTAAAAAAGTAAGTGTTGTGATAGTTGTAAGCAACGTCCAGCACCTGGCAGCAAGAGGTAGTCCGAATAAAATTAGAACGCGGAGACCGGCGTATGTTGAGGTCCTATGGTCTGATAGGACCTCAACAATACTTGCATGCGTGACTTTCGACAACCGCTTACTAATCCCTACAACCTTCCCTTGAAAAAGGTTAAAGATAGTAATGAATTTAAGTTATATTTAGTGAAAAAAGCCTCACAGATTCATTCAAGCGCTCTTAACGCTGTTAGGGCTTTTGCTAAAGTTGAAGAGAACTTCTTTCTACTCGTCTGTGGACAATGCAAGGCAAGCAGAATATAAATGAAAAAGAACAGTTTGTATATTGATATAGATTTCAATTCAATTGATACATACTTAGTAACAATCATTTTTAAGTCTTTAGTAAAAAAAATGGTTGTACGGCATTTATCCAATTTTTTACATTTACCGTTGACTTTATCAGTCAACTATACCAGCTTCTAGTTTTCCAAGCAATGTAATTGTTGTCGGATTTGGATATATTCTTCTATTGCAACCAGATTTCTATACCTTTTTCACTTTGAAATACTTATTCGTTTGCGAAGAAAATTGCGTATTATGCTAATATATAACATGTTAATTGGCTTGACGAGACGTATACTTTGAGTATATTTGCTCCTATCTCTACAATTAAGCACTTTCATTTGTAAATTAACTTAATTAGTCAAAACATATGACGGGTTCAAAAAACCATATCTCCGGTATTTCATACAAATGTAGTCTTATGTAATACTTGCATCACTTTTTTGGCTGTGCTAAACAATATTATGCAAAAATATATGAATACAGAATATAGTTCAAATTAATCGTGAGCGTTAAACAAAGTTAATATCAATTATTGAGGCAAATTGCACCAAAATCAAAAGTTCGTTGGATAATGTTGTTTAACGGTGGTAGGGCCACGCAGCAGCCTCGGCTGTTGCACGAATGGGCAGGCCCGTCCGGGTAAGTACCCACAACCTCACAGAAGACCAGCGTAAAGTGGAAGTATGACAAATACTTTCGCGTTTCGTATGGTGAGTGAGGTAGTCGGAGCCCAATTTTCAAAAGGTTGTCAACGCATCTGTAACTCTCGGGTGTACCAGCAGATGTCCATGGGCGACGGTATTCACTTAACATCAGGTGAACCTGATGTTAAGTGAATACCGCTCCATATCAGCTCGTTTGCCAACTTTTCATATTAAAAAAAAAATATCATTGTTTATCGAGATTATCAGCGTGGATCAATGACACGCTCTAAAAATTAGCATAACAACAAAAGCAGTGCGCAGGTCCTTAGTTTTAATTTCACGCCCGCGTGACTCTCTAATCGCGTGATATTTAATAACGAGTGCAAGAATATCCAACTGGACGTTAAGAATACAAAGACTTCACGAAGGTTGTAAATAGATAAACATTTCTTTCTTGCTCCCAAAATTCACCTTTCTGAGCGCGTCTTATTTAGAAAGTACTAAATTATTCTATCATAGTTAATAAGTCTACTGGAGTCCTTATAGATACACCCTTTTAATTCATAATTTCAACTCCTTAAGGAGGCTGTCTGAACTGTCACTAATAATATCTGATATTGTTTGTATATAAAATTGTTTAGGTGATTTTATATGCAAATATATATTACCTAAAACTAGTCATGGTTTTACGATATAACGTGTATCTTAAATAAATAAACGGACCAACGGGTATGTACCTACAGATTATTAACCGTATTTTTATATTTATTAACTCGGCTAGCTAAGCAAGGGTCGTATATTAATCGCCTATATGACCACACCAGCGCTCAAGTCGAATAAATACATCGCTAAGCAAGTATGGTACCTAATTTAACGGTGGTAGGGCTACGCAGCAGCCTCGGCTGTTGTACGAATGGGCAGACTCGTCCGGGTAAGTATCACGACCTCACAGACGACCGGCGTAAAGTGGAAGTGTAACACTTTCGTGTTTCGTCTGGTGAGTGATGTAGCCGGAGTCCAGTTTTCAAAAGGTTTTTAAAGCATCTGCAAAACCTTGGGTGTACCAGCAGATGTCCATGGGCGGTGGTATTCACTTAACATCAGGTGAACCAGCTGCTCGCTTGGCAACTTTTCACATAAAAAAATCTAACCGGTAATTTCACGGTGTCCGACGCCGTACAACGTTAAAAAATCCTGATCAGACCGTTACGACTGTATTTAAAAATTTACAGAAAAGAAAATGTTAAAATTGTCGATATATATAATAGGTTATAATGTAATATTTAGCTGTAGTTAAAGTATTGGCCACGTGGCAGATTCGGCTGTTACACGAATGGATAATCTTTTCCGGAAAAGTACCGTGACCTTTGGCCTT